GAGACATGAAAGCTATAATATCAACATTGGTTGTCCAATATACATTTTCTATATCCTAAATGGAAGAAGACATGTACAAGAACAAATTTGACTAAGAATGCGCCAACCAGTCAGCATTAAACTCAAGATATAAGGACCTATATGGTATTGCTGAAAGCGAAAATGGTCAAAAAAGCCATGTTTTGTCCTTAAATGTCTCATTTCTAGGCACTAGTTTACCAATAAAGGTTCTGAAATATCTTAAAAACATTAAATAACACATAATATTGATATAGAATAGCTACAACTTTATTAAAGTTTATAGTTTCAAGTTATTTTATATTTTCATATTTTTCTTATATTTTTCATGATAAATGGGGTAGGGGAGATCTGAAAGCTCTAATATGACCATTGGTGGTCCACTATACATTTTCTATACCTTAAATGGAAGAAGACATCTACAAAAACAGATTTTATTACAATTGCAACAACCAGTAAGCATAAAACTCAATATATGAGGAACTATATGTTACTGCTGAAAGCCTAAATGATTTTTAAAAATGCCAAGTTTTGTCCTTAAATGTCTCATTTCTAGGCACTAGTATACCAATAAAGGTTCTGAAATATCTGAAAAACATTAAATAATACATAATATTGATATAGAATAGCTACAACATTGTTAAAGTTTATAAATTCAAGTTATTTTATATTTTCATATGTTTCAGTAATTTTTCATAATAAATGGGGTAGGGGAGATCTGAAAGCTCTAATATGACCATTGGTGGTCCAATATACATTTTTTGTATCTTAAATGGAAGAAGACATGTACAAGCACAGATTTAATCAAAATTGCAACAACCAGTCAACATTAAACTCAAGATATAAGGAACTATATGTTACTGCTGAAAGCGAAAATGATCAAAAATGCCAAATTTTGTCCTTTATTATCTTATTTCTAGACACTAGTACACTCATGAAGGTCCTTAAACATCTGAAAAACATTAAATAATACATAGTGTTAATATTAAATAGCTAGAGTTTTGTTTGAGTTGAACATTTTGACATTTTGTAGTTTCCATTTTTAGCCAATTTTTTTCTAAAAAATTCAAGGTATGTCTTCCTCGGACCAATATTTAGATATGTTCGCAAGAGTGATATGCTTCGCAGGCGAAATCCCTTATGCAGGAAACCCTAATAGAATGAAAAATACAGAGAAACTCCATCCAGCTCACAAAGTCATTTTTTGCACAATTCTCACACCTTCCACCCCGAGTATATATAAAGAGATTACCACGGTACACGATTCAGAGGTAAGCCAGGAAGGCGAACGATCTTCGTCTCGTGATTACATGTACACGAGTACATGAATGAAGGCCTAATATTGATATACGTAGCTTGCATACCTAAATAAAAAATAAACTCTTCTAATCCCCTAATGTAAACACGGCGGTATACGTAGCCCGATTTATCGGGGACTTTAAGATCCTGTTGTAAGTTTATTCATAAGCTTCATACACTAGTTTGTGTCTGCTACAGTTATTATAGCATATACCATTCTGTGGAGAACTTCACAGAGTATGTCTATGTGAAGCTTCTTGAAATTTAGTCAATCAGGGAAATACCTTCCAAGTCAATCAAAATCAATCACTTACTGAAATTTGACAAATGTGGCATTTTTCTAGCATAAAGGGTTCCGATAAGCTTCCCGTATAAAACAATATGGCGGCTCCTGGATCAGTCCATTTTTAAGAAATAAGGGGAGTTCTGTAAAATCCAGTTTAAATTGTCTTTGAGATAAAGTAATCCGTTTATAATGATTTTGAAAACATTATCCATAGAGTGATAGAGTTCAAAGAATATGTACAACAGCCAATATAAATCCTTGTATTAGAACTGCTTTGTTTCATTTGTAGAATATTTCATATGCCAAGCTGTGTGCTATTACGTTATGGGGAAATTTAGATGTCAATTTTTCCTTATTATACACAAATAGAAGATCCTGAAACGTCACCTAAAATGTGGAATTGATTTGTCAAAAATTAAAATCACCCTTTTATAAATGCGTGACGATTTATAATATACTTATGCTATATAACAGTTAGAGGTGTTGACACAACGACCTCGAGCCTGTGAACCCTTGAGTATTATTCCGGGATCGGGCCTTTTATACTAAACGGTGAGCAACACCAGAAACGAGCGTTCGATTTGCTAAACGATATGCGTCACCCTTTAAATTCTATATGTTTTTGACTTTGTCACTTGACACATATCTATTAAATCACGTATATACCACGGTAATCTCTATTTCTTCAAAGTTTCATCACTGTTTGCCTTCTGTTAACCGATTCTGGGTGGAAAACCAGGTATATTTTGGAAACGCAGTTCAGACACTTCGGCAACGCGGGTTCAGACATCATACATATTTGACAAAACTGGAAACGCAGTGACAGCAATGCAGCTGATGTGTCTGACGGGACGTTGATGCGCTGTTTTTGGTGCCCAGCGGACCTCGGGAAGTGGGGTTGTTGGCCTCCTCCCCCTATCTGGTGATATGAATTTCCGTTTATTCCCCTCGACATTTATGTTTATTGTAGAATTGCTCCCTATTCTTCGTCTCTTCGTTCTGTATAGGGATAGATTGGTATTGCATGTATTGCTTGATCTTTTTCTGAAAAAGTCACATGCCTTATTAAATCAAAATCCTCGACAGAAAAGCATAATGCAAAACTTCTTTGTACTTTACAATACAGAGAAAGTTGATGTCTGCACCGCGTTGCCATACAATTTAATCTATGCTGTCGACGCGTTGCCATAATTGCTGAAAATGACTGCGCCGCGTTTCCGACTAGTTCAATTTTGTAAGCAGATTGCGATGAAAATAAACAAAAGTTTCAATCTTAATTTGTATTGTACATTCTATAAGTATCAGGCTATTGAATGTCAATGTTAAATTTGCTCATGAGTGGCGAAATACCTCCTTAATTGGAATAAGAAGATAGGTCAAGAGAAATAGGATCGGGAAATCATATCTGCGTTGACTATTTCTTTATTCTGGTCAATGCCTGAACAGAAATTCTTATAGCTTTACATACCTTAAGGGGTTGATCACCGAGTGTGAAGCATGAGTTTTCAAAAACTTACCTATGTTTCGAGGAAACAGAGGACGAACTGCCTCCGATAATTGGAGTTGCCTCCATTTTGTGTCTTTACCGCGTTGCAGCCTCGTTTTGAACAGATATGCTTGACTGCGCCGCGTTACCTATACCCACCTTGCTTTTGATAGTAATAATTTCACTCGAACTCAAAACCTAGTAATTGATAATCGTCTTCATGTAAAGGAATGATTCTGAATGCGGAACGAATGTCGATTTTTATTAAAAAACATTCCATACCCATTTCCGAAAATATTTTGATTGCTTCAGATACGTTTGAGTAATTGACAGATCGCAATTCAACTGGAATTCCGTCGTTTATAGAAGAGCCTTTCGGATATGAAAGATCATGAATTAATCTAAATTCGCCGGGAGTCTTTTTGGGAATTACTGACACTGGAGATGTGACAAAATACTTATCAAACGGTGGATCAGACTGGGGAGGTGAAATCCTGTTTTTTTGAATTTCAGATTTAACTTTCTCCTTAACAATGTGGTGATTGATTATGGCCGACTTAAAATTAGTTGAACGTCTCGATTCTCTTTCGCCAAAATAACCAATACTGAAACCATTGCTGAAACCATTTAGAAGGTAGCTAGACAGAAACGCATCGTATCCCTTGATATAGTATGATAATCTATTAATGATTATTGGTGTTGGCATTGTGATTTGAGTTTTGACCCTTGTTACTTGGAGTTTGAAAATTGGAGGACGAGCGTTGGGGTCGAAAATTCTTATTACACTTCAAGCCTGGATGGTTTGCAGAGGGACTATTACACTTAAAGCAATAGTGGTGGAATTTGCATTCAGATTTTTTGAAGCAAGTTTGGCCTAATTGGAATTTGTAACAGAATCCTTTGGGGATGTTTGGTTTTGACTTGCTATTGCTTGGGTATTGAGAGTTATTGTGCTTGTTATTTTGCTGTTGCTTTCCCTCGAGGGAAGTAAAAATGAATAACGTGGGATGAGGCTGGTCCCAGGGTAATGATATATTATTGGCCCTTGCCCGTCGAAAATTTTCGTCGTAGTAGTTCCAGTCCAAATGATTTTCCGCTAATTTCCTTACATTCTGGCCATAGTGCATTAAAGGAATTGCATCCGTGCCATATTTTGTGCAATGTATGGTGGTGAAAATATGGAAAGCGGAAATCAATTCTTTAATGGAAACTAATTTAAAATTACCTTGGGCCTTGGTTATTTTAAGATTACCTGATTTGGATTGTTTCAAATCGAATTCTGAGTCTTTGACTCGTGAATGTTTAGGGAGAAGTGACCCGAACTCTACGTACTCGTTATTCCAGATTTTTTGCTTAATAGCTGTTGGCACATGCATGTCGATAGGTATTTGGAAAGAAAATGCCTTAGAAGGAGCTTCGGGCTCATTGAGGTTTGTTTCCGTACCTAATTTTGGGAATGAGACCTCGCCGTCTGAATCCCCAGAGTCCTCGCTAGTAGAGTTGTCTCGTGTATTTGTTGATGTTGCAGGTTGCTGGGATAGACTTTCTACCACCCGTTTCGTGATTTCCACCACCAACTCCTCATTCAACTTCTGCTTTTTTGTTCTAATCTTCCGGGTGCCCTTGAAGGCGATCCCCTGGGTCTTAGTTGTCTCTTAGGCATGATCTGCGAATAAAACGAGAGACGCGGTGGGAAAATAAAGAAAGTTAAGGACATATGATTAGATATTCGTTGATTTATTTATACGATTACGTAACAGCGATATTTTACAATTTTAATAAAGCAAGACAAACAAAGACAAACAAATTAAAAAAACAACATATTTTGTCTCAACAGATAATAATTTCAATCCGTGAGATGAAGTATGAGGATAATAATTTCAACCCTCGAATCAAACGATTTAAATGCCATTTTTTGTCTCAACAGATTCGAATTTCAATTCGTGAGATGAAGTATGAGGATAATAATTTCAATCCTCGATCAAACAATTTAAATGCCATTTTTTGTCTCAACAGATACTAATTTCAATCAGTGAGATGTAGTATGAGGATAATAATTTCAATCCTCGAACAAACAAATAAACGCCATTTTGTCTCGACAGATACTAATTTCAATCTGTGAGATAAAGTATGAGGATAATAATTTCAATCCTCGAACAAACATATAAACGCCATTTTTGTCTCGACAGATACTAATTTCAATCCGTGAGATAAAGTATGAGGATAATGATTTCAACCCTCAAACAAATAGAACGTAATACTATTTAAGAGGGCACTAAAGTCTTTAATTAAGGAGACTTATTTCAATCCTTGAGACCGTTAAAAAAAGGTAATAGTTGTTGTCCGTAGTTTGGATATGATTTCAATCCAAGGGACGAGTGAGCCTTGTGATTAAATCTCACAATTAAATGCTCAGAAGCTGATTCTGAGCGATGCACAAACAATGATATAATTCAAATGGCTACTGTATTAAGACAAGGAATGGTTACCCAGCTTTCGGCAGCTCGAGAAATATATATTGAGTGCTGCATTACCTTTACCCTGTTTGCGTGATATATATATATAAAGATATCTTTCTAATACAATAATTTGTTTTTCAATTAAATCTTTATAGCACTACCCCATCATGCTACGAGTAGAAAAATACAATAATGGGTCTTACCAGCAATGCTTATGTTTTGTATATTAATTAAGTTGACTTTCACCGAAGATGCATGCTTGCTTGTAGCTTGGGTGGTAGAGCCCATGATAGAGTTTATAATTTCCGCGATCATTGTAATGGACACCGTCTTCAATGTAGAGGTTAAATTGGCTATTCCTAATACATCTGTGGTGCCACAGCTTTGCGAATGGAATGTGCTCTAATAATGCTGTCAGAATACGATTGCATAGCATGACATTTTCATTGTATTTTAAAGGAGCTGATTTTCTTTGTATAAGTTCAGATACTAAAATATATTCGACGTGATATTCTTGGTGTAATTTCATAACTAGATTTTCTATATCGGAGGCAACTGTTTCGGGTCTTTTTCCGTTTGAGATATCATTTCCTCCAATTTGTAAGATGACTATGTTTGGCGGATTTTTTAATTTATTTTCCAATGTTTCATTCAATATTGTCCCTACTTTTCTACCGCCCAAACCGTCATATCTAATATGAATGCGTTCTAGCCCAAGATTCCATTTAACGCGTTTGTCTTCAGTTGTGCAATCATAATTCTTAAAGCGCCTAACAAAGGAATGTCCAATTAGCATTGCTGATAATCCATCCATGTTACAAAATGTATAAAGGAACAGATACTCACAGGGTTTAATAGATATCACTTTAGATGGTGAAGAGATTTATATCCTCCTTCCGAGTCCCGTCCACTATGGAATTTGGTAAATGATCGAATTCAATCCACAAACTGTGTATTTATTAACTTATAAGTTCGTAAAGTAAAAATATGTTATAAATTGTATAAATAGTGTTTTATAAATAGTGTTCTTTCTTATTAGCGAGATCAATAGTGCAAGAAAACAGGCAAATAGTTCGTTCATGGAACGAAGCATGAAACTTTCCACATATCATCAGAATACCTTTCCCTTTGATTTAAGAGCCAGAGCCATTTTTGTGGTCCACTAGAATGATCAAAAAATAATAAGTACCCCCTCCCACCAAATCCTGTGGGGGTGGGGAGATATAGGAATATTTTTTTCATAAAAAAATTTCTTTGAATATGGTCATACCACAGTTTTAGTGTGCTATTTTCATGGTAAAGAAATTTTGCAAACATAACAAGATGATTTATCATCAATTTTCATCATTGTTCAAGACTAATCATGGGCGACGCCCACTTTTCATATCTTGAACATTTAGGTTATTAAATCTCTATCATTGGTTGAATAAATGAATGTAATTCAGCTTTCTGAATAAGACCAGATACTCTTTTGATGTTAGGTGCTATAATTAATCTTAGAATTTGACTTCTAAAAGGCTCATAACATATCACACCCCTGCTTAGAAGAAAGAAGAAAGCGAGCAACAAATGTCCCAGATCTATAACATGTATCCACTATTCTATGTACATGTATGTCGAGTCTCTATATTCTCCTGAAGAAAACCTATGCTACAGATACAACTGTCCAGAATCTAGATGATGACATGCTTAAACAGTTTGATGAATGGTGTGCTGACCAAGTGCCTAAACAGTTTTATGAATGGTGTGCTGACCAACAGAATGTACCAGTCTTCAGGCTTTGGTTTCTGATTATTTAAATTGAAATACTGTGCCTAGACTATGTGAGGGCTATAGGACAGGAGAATTTTCCTCTTTATTTCCAGATGGTTTCTCTTTGATTTTCATAGTTGTTAAAGACTAGTCATGGGCGACACCCACTTTTCATATGCTGAACATTTAGGCTATTAAACCTCTTTTATGGGTTTGAACCAGAACCAGAAGGGCCGCCACACAGTCACAGCCTGCAGTCTCTAAATTCTCAAGAGAGCCTATACTACATATACAGCTGTCTAGAATCTAGATGATGAAGTGATAAAGAGTTTGATAGAATGGTGTGCTGACCAACAGAATGTACCAGTCTTTAAGTTTTGGTTTCCGATTATTTGAATCGAAATACTGTGCCTTAACTAAGTGTGTGCTATCAGAGAGGGCAATTTCCCTCTTTATCTCGAGTCAATTAGCAAGCGTATCACCTGGTTTTTCATTTTTTGACCTTGTCAATATGCTTGATGAGTACCAGTTCACATTAGGAATATGCTACAACTATAACAAATACATCCAGAAGTCTACGAAGCCTTCACAAAAGGCCACTTCACTGTTACCAAGATCGAGCTTTTCAGCCATTGCTAGTGCTACTGACCAGGTTCACAAGCAGAATAACAGTCTAGATAAATCAAACAGTGGAGCAGTGTGGCTCTTTGACAACCAGACAACTCTATTGGATGGTTGGGGGCCCTGAATTTGTCAGACTGATCATGAATTTGAGAACAATATAAATAATGATCAAGATGAAGACCTATCTAATCATGAACAAAGTATAAGCATACAACAAAGATTCAAAGATAATGTGAAACTATTATCAGAAACCATAGAATAGATGGGAAATCCTTTCTGGAGACTTCAAATGACTTGTACTCATTAGACAACAAAGATATTGTATCCTCAATGTCAGTCCAGAAGAAGTGAGTAGTTCCCATAATACTATCATATTCTTTCGTACTCATGAACATAATTTATTTGAATTACGCCCATCAGTATACGATGTAAAATCAAATTGCAGGACATGATTACGTGCACAATCATGAGCATGAGGTCTCTCAGGGCAGCACATGAGCAAAGTAAAATGTGAAATTGTGGAGATGGTGTTTATTTCAGTTTAACATCAGGTCAACATCATCATTTCTAAATGAAGGTAACACTATTTAAGTTAATCGATCCAAACTTGTAGAGAATAATCATAAATCAACATTCTGCTTGTGAACCTGGGTCGTCTTTGGGAAATGGAGCAAAGTGGCCAGGATCAGTACAAATTGTACACTAAAGAAAAACTGGATGACAAATCTAAACAAATAACAGACACTATCTATATAAAAAGAAACAATTTTCTAATATTTAAGGAACAGAAAACAAAAGTGAATGTTACCAAGGAAACAGCATTGAAAAAAATGATTGTGCTCTCTTTTCAAGACTGTTCATTGCATGTCAGAATAGAGACAGTCATCTTGAGGAGTTCTTCAAACGTGAAAACCAATCCTTCCCACCCTCTTTATCTCAAAATGGAACAATTAAAACAACTAATTAAGTGCCGAAAGGTAGATGAAATGTTACCATCAAATTGGAATGTATTAGAGATGATGTAAACAATGTATTGTAAGATGTATTATCATATCCCCCGATGCCCATTCAAGACATTTCCCCATCAACACATGAATAAGCACATCCACCGTGCAGTAAAGTCTGGGTAGAACACATTGATGATTAGAACAGTAGACTGATATTGTCTGTCTCACAGTCAGTATATCATCAGAACTCAAAGTTCAAAAATGGATAGCTTTGGGAAAAGTAAAAAATTAGAGATATCTCACATGAAATGGCAGCTGCAACTATATCCGGATTCCATGGTAAATTAAAAACAACAGCGTAGAAACATTGGATTACTTATCCGAGTTGACAAATGCACTTAAAACTTTGGCTGAAGATCCCAATAAGTAAGCCAAAGTTATGCCAATCACTGAACGTTTTGTTGTGATTTTATACAACAGAGACAACAATGAAACAACTGTAAATGCTGCAAGACAAGAAATGTTCACAAAGAAAACAGCTCAAATTGAGAACATCCCACCATAGGTTGCATAAGTTCGGTCCAGACAATTATACCTATGTCAGTCCTCGCTTCACTCTCAAAACTGAGTTGGGAATCCATTACCACAAAGGCTGGAAAAATGATTTATGTGCCAGTATGGAAAACATTGCCCAAAGCTTCAGATGCATGCCAAATGCTAGTAAAATGTAGCTGCAAACAATAGTGCTCAACAAAAAGATGCAAGTGCTTTAAAGCCAATATTATGCATGTATTGCCCTGTATTTGTGTGACAGGGATTGTAATGGACATGGCACCTAAGTGAGTGATAATGATAATAGAGTGTTGAAGTGCTTAAATGCACAAAATAGGATATTTGAACTGCAGTTAAGATACTTAATGAGGTAACTTGTATCAATTAGTCAAAGTGCTCTCATTAAAAATTATGTATCATTAATTGTGAATTATATATTATTATATCTTTATATCTAAAAGGGGTGTGGCCTTTCACAAGCCTTTAACAGTGAAATTGACTTACTTACAGCATCTATTATCTTAACATAAGTAATCTTGTCAGTTTTATTCAGCCATATTAGGTAATTTTCCTATTCATAATAGAAGACTCATTAACTTGTATATTTAACATGTTGATAAAGTGGGCGTCGCCCTTGGTCAGGCTTTAACAATGAATATCAATGAGAAATACTGATGCAATCTTGAAAATTGTTTTTTTAACACTGAAAATAACATACTCAAAATGAATATAGATCATATTAAAAAAAAAATCAACAAAAAAATAATTCTTCCCTCCCCCTCCCCCCAGGATTTGATGGGAGGGGGTATTTGCAATTTTTCGGTCATTCTAATGAACTACAAAAATGGCTCTGGCTCTTAAATCAAAGGGAATGGTATTCTGATGATATGTGGAAAGTTTCACGCTTCGTTCCATGAATGAACTATTTTTGCACTATTGATCTCGCTATATGTTATATAATATTTTCTCAATATAACAATGCTCAATAGCTTGTAAAGTTGAAACAATAATTTTTTAATAACAAACCAATGCTTATTTATGTTGTCTGTTTCGAAACATGAAACTGAATGAAGGATGCTGTCTAGCTAGGATGTAGTAGATAGACCCAAGATGTAACTCGAGACACACGTGTATAACTGAAAGTGAAAGCCAGTACATGATTGGATATCCGGCCAGTCAGTATAAATCCATTTAAGGTCCACTTGCAGATTCCTTAAATTACTTTAAAGGATTTATTTCTTATTAATTAGTAATAACCAGAACAACGGCAACGCCAAAGCGTAGCGAATCCCATCGAACAGAAATGGCTGGCATTTTTACATTTGAAATATATATAGCAAATATCATAAAATAACACCCATAAGAAAGGCCACCATTTTCAAAATGGTTGATCACTAGCCAAGTTGTCATCAGAAGAAGTAATATGCTTTTAAGTAGCCACAGATAAAATTCTTAAAAAATCACCAATGCTGGCCATTTTTTAAAATGGCCGCTTACAACCCAAATTTCATAAGACAGTATGCAATCCTTATGAGTATTCACATATCAAATATGAACAAAATAGCTCTATTACTTTTTGAGTTATAATAAAAAATGTAAAATAACACACATAAAAATGATGGCCATTTTTCAAGATGGCCGACTACTCCCCAAAGTTTTATTAGACAATGTGGCATGCTTAAAGTATTCACATATCAAATATGAACAAAATCGCTCAACTACTTTACAAGTTATAGTAAAAAACGTAAAAATGGAGGCCATTTTTCAAAATGGCTGCCTTATACCCAAAGTGTCATTAGAAAGTGTGCCATTCTTATAGTATTCACATATAAAATATGAACAAAATCGCTCTAATACTTTTTGACTTATAGTAAAAAATGTAAAATAACACACATAAAAATGGCGGCCATTTTGAAAAATGGCCGCCTACTACCCAAAATGTCATTAGACATTGTGCCATGCTTAAAGTGTTCACATACCAAATATGAACAAAATCGCTCCACTACTTTTTGACTTACAGTAAAAAATGTTAAATAACACACATAAAAATGGCGGCCATTTTTCAAAATGGCCGTCTACTACCCTAAATGTCATTAGACATTGTGCCATGCTTAAAGTATTCACATACCAAATATGAACAAAATCGCTCCACTACTTTTCAAGTTACAGCAAAAATCGTAAAATGACGTGCAAAGGCAGCCATTTTTCAAGATGGCTGCCATGTATTTCTTCTATATTTTCATTTCTAGCTTAATCAATGTTTTATATAACTTTTTTACATTTAAAACATATTGCTATTACAGTTTTATATGCAGTACCTAAATTACTGTAAAATCGGCACTAAAATGGCCACCATTTTTTTTGAGTGGCCATTTTGAAAATCAGTTCTCGAGCAGAACTTCTACCCCCATTGGGTATATGTATACAAAATATCAACAAAATCAGGCCAGCGGTATTTGAGTTATTGCCCGGACGGACAGACGGATGGACGGACGTACGGACGGACGGATGGAGGCGTTCCCTATATCCCTCCGAACTTCGTTCGATGGGATAATAAGTTGTTCATCAGATAAACAATGTATATGCTCAGCTCAGCATATCATGATATAACACAACATTGATTAATTTACCTTGATAAGTGGACACCTTGTTAAATGCCCATGCCCACAAACTGTCTAAAATGATTTCAATCACATTTGTAATTAAATGGATAAATGCACAATTAACAGGTATCAACTATAAAAAGTTATTTTAATAATTATTGACATCTGAATTAAATGTTAACTATATCGTTTATACATAATGAAACCATATATTACATGTATCTTACACATGTACAAATATTCTATATTTGATACATCTATATACACTTTATCCTTCTAATATTCTTCTATCACTATACTGTATAAACAAGATGCAAGATGCAATCATTGCATTTTGAATAATACAGGATTAGCCAAAAAGATAACTCAAATAAATGTTAAATACCCTGAGAACAAGTCTCACAAAATGGTGATAATGCTAAATAAAATCCCTTCTACAAAGTAAATAAAATCAAAAATTTGCTGCACTGCCTTCATATAAGTTCTGTCATTTATGTCATTGAAGGAGAATTTTGATGAATTAGTACAGTCAGTGTATGAATACTATGGGCTTGCTGTAAAAAACTCTTTATATTGCCAAACATGGTTGACTAGTTTTTTCGGGTAAAGTAGACAGACTTTTAGAATATGTTTACCATTATATGGTTAAAGCTGTCATATTTAAATGGCATTTTGTTGGCCATATTATATTTTTTAACTTGCAGTCTTAACAATTTGTTCTAATCAAGAGGAACTCTCCACAGAGAGAGAAATGAGCTTTCACATGGTACAATTTCTGAGATGGTTAGATGAAGGATGACTGTCGGTTTAAAATAAGACTCCTCTGGGTTTTCTTAATGATTCCTATCCATACCTTTAAGTCCATGAATCTAATATTAATACACATTGGCATGTTCATGTTCAAAAGTGTGATATACGAGGGGTGATCAATAAGTAATGGACGCTTTTTTACACAGATGCTTTTTATAGACCAATCCCTTCGATTGTCTTACCAGTGATACATCATTCAATTATCTATCAACTCTGAAGATTTGAAGACAATATATATATTACATGTTGATATATCCTTATTTCCGTGAAGGAGGTACAGGTACCCCTGGACCGACATTTACGTCACATATTCTGAAGCTATTTTAGATTGTTTAACATGCAATGCAGTTGAATGCAGGCTGAACAAAACAAACCATTATGGTCATGAATTACCCCATTTTGTTATGCCATAGTTGATTTTGAATATTTTATCATCACTATGTGGTATTCATGCCACATTCATTCCACAGAGCCCTCTAAATAGGTTCCATCAAGTGCTACATGTACACAATTCCTCATCCTCTTAACTGTGATTGTGAGACAAGGCTGAATCCATTCTCTGACATGGTAGCAAGATGCAGTTGCACGGGTTGTTTTATTTCATCAATGTCAATAAACCTGGGTCCTTTCTCTATACAAATAAGTAGTATAGAAATAAAAAATACACACGGTGAACAATATCGCACCCTTGAACAGAAATGGCCGTCTTAACATTTATCCAGAATGTCGAAAAACTAATCAGTTCTAAACTTTCATAGGTAGAAACATCCCTGAGAATTTCAAATGAATCCCTCAAACGGTTTGGCTTGAAACCTGTTGACAAGCCTTGACAGACAAGATTTTAGGACGGAAAATCTAAAATGGCCGCCTTAACATTTACCCAGAATGCCAAAAAACTAGTCAGTTCTAAACTTTCATAGGTAGAAACATCCCTGAGAATTTCAAATGAATTTCTCAAACGGTTGGGCTGGAAACCTGTAGACAAGCCTTGACAGACAAGATTTTAGGACAGAAAATCCAAAATGGCCGCCTTAACATTTACCCAGGATGCTGAAAAACTAATCAGTTCTAAACTTTCATAGGTAGAAACATCCCTGGGAATTTCAAATGAATCCCTCAAACGGTTTGGCTGGAAACCTGTAGACAAGCCTTGACAGACAAGATTTTAGGACGGAAAATCCTAAATGGCCGCCTTAACATTTACCCAGAATGCCAAAAAACTAGTCAGTTCTAAACTTTCATAGGTAGAAACATCCCTGAGAATTTCAAATGAATCCCTCAAACGGTTTGGCTGGAAACCTGTAGACAAGCCTTGACAGACAAGATTTTAGGACGGAAAATCCAAAATGGCCGCCTTAACATTTACCCAGAATGCCGAAAAACTAATCAATTCTTAACTTTCATAGGTAGAAACATCCCTGAGAATTTCAAATGAATTTCTCAAACGGTTTGGCTGGAAACCTGTAGACAAGCCTTGACAGACAAGATTTTAGGACGGAAAATCCAAAATGGCCGCCTTAACATTTACCCAGAATGCCGAAAAGCTAATCACTTCTAAACTTTTATAGGTAGAAACATCCCTGAGAATTTCAAACAAATCCCTCAAACAGTTTGGCTGGAAACCTGTAGACAAGATTATTTGGGACGCCCGCCCGCCCAATCGCCCGCCCGGCAAACTGATTACAATATAGCACCTTAACAAGTCACATGTGAGCAGATCTGGACAATATGGTGCATTGCCCAAGGGCTCAATTTTGAGGTCCAGGGATATTCTTTTCTGAACATTTTGAGATCTGTGGGCAGGTACATTGTTCATATGGAGTAGGGTGTTCCCTTCTCTCACCACCTCTTTCTTCCACAATGCTTTCTCAAATTGACCTGCCAACCCCTTCCGTACAACACTCTGACATACCAATACTTTCTGTTTATGTGTTACCAGTCAGCAAAAAAATTTAAACAACACAACACTTGTTTTATATAAAACGTTCAAATCTAACTGCAATTTACCAAACTGGCTAAAAACTGAATATGTGGTGTAAATGTCGGTCTCGTGGTACCTATACCTCCTTCTCGTAAATAAGGATATATCAATATGTATTATATATTTTGTCTTCAAATCTTCAGAATTGATAGATAATTGAATGATGGTAGGAAAATCAAAGGGATTGGTCTATAAAAAGTATCTGTGTAAAAAAGCGTCCATTACTTATTGATCACCCCTCGTATATAATGTGGACACTGACTTCATGCTTTTATAACTTCACATAATAGCCAAGGGCTATATTGGATATAAATTATTTTGAACCTTAGGTTTTAACATCGTGTTCAAAACTGTTTCAGTTACCACATTGTAATCAGACATCATGATTTTACAAACTCAATGGCCAGTTGTCTTGTGCAATTGATAACTAACCATTCAATTCAGATGTTTGGTTCAGATTCATCCACAATACTAGACTTCATGGAACCATCGGGTCCCCTGTCTTTAGATGCATTGTCATCATCCGTAGTCAAATCAAATTGAAATTTAGTCTCTTCATTTGGTGTTGTTTCTCCATCTAGTGGAGTGTTGTTCTTAGAGTCAGTAAATGAACCTGAGGGTGTGACTGGAATCATAGTTTGATACCAGTCTCTATTGTCCTCCAGAGTGTCTAGTATATCCTGGGCATCTGGGTGCACTAGGTCTGCCCAAGTTTCCCACAAAGGATGTACTATAAAGTCTATGAAGCCAACCTGCAAATACAAATCCATTAATAGTTAAATAACTTTTTAGTATGAAGAATATTAAAATACTTTTTATTAATTCTTCATTGCCATTCTTCTTCTTCTTTTCCAGACGTCCTGCAATATTTTCCCAAAAAAGAAGGTCAACGGAAAATATCTCCAAATTTAACGTGTGAGTTATGAAATATGTGTAGATTTTTCCCAGGAATCTGAATCTGCAAACCAAATTTCGATCCTACTTGCAGTCTGAAGAATTGCTATTTTGGTATCCAATGTTAAGTCAATGGGGATGAAAAAAATAATGAGTTGTAAAAACATGAAATTCAGACTGGATGCAGATAACTTAATGAAAGCCTACAATAAGAGCGGACCTCAGATCTACTTTGCTTCAAAATTTGGACACTAAAAGGTCAAAATCTAGGTCATATTTAAAGTCTTTCCTTATTTTTGCGATTCAGACACTACACTTTAATGATATTCTTCGAAATTTGGTATACATATAGCAAACGTATGCTAATAGAGGTATCCTCTTGCTGTCAGGATGTATTTTGAGTACTTTTTCTACTACCCAAACTGTCATTAGACAGTGTGCCATGCTTATAGTATTTACATGTCAAATATGAAATAAATCGCTCCACTACAATTCGAGTTATAGTAAAAACTTTAACTAACACTGTTAAAATGGTGGCCATTTTGAAAATTGGCCGCCAATTCCTAAAAATGTCATTAGACATTGTTCCAAGCTTATAGTATTAACATACCAAATATAAATAAAACAGCAAAAATCTTAAAAAAGCTACTATTTTTCAAGATGGCCACCATTTTTACATGTGTTATTTAAAGTTTTTTACTATAACTCGATTATTAAATTCCTAAATAACTTTTTACATTTAAACATATTGCTATTACAGTTTTATATACAGTACCTAAATTTCTGTAAAATCGACACTAAAATGGCTGCCATTTTTTAACAAGCGGCCATTTTGATAATCGGCTTTCGAGCAGACATTCTACCCCCATAGGGCGCATGTGTGATATGAATATTTAAACATAATCGGGCAAATGGTATTTGAGTGATCACCTGGACAGACGTACATACAAATGGATGGAGCCGTTCCCTATGTCCCTCCGAACTTCATTCGATGGGATAACAAATGGGGAATACAGAAGGTACTAGATATATTCTATTCATTCATTCTATATATTCTATTCTATGTACTCAACTCCCAAACTTTTTTTATGAATTTATCTTTTACTTCTAAAACACATACATTAAAACATATTTGAAAATCATCATAGCTTTACATTTAAATAAAATATTAATTATATATTAATAATGATTTAATTTTCAAACTAGAAAAACAGCATCTCCACAGAGTAGCAAATCCCACCTAACAAACCATATTTTGATTATTGGTGGCCATCTTGAAAATTCTCTGTCCCTTAGGCATCAACATATAAAATGTAAACCATATCCGTAAATTAGCATTTGAGTTTTTTTTTTTAAACATATTATTTATTTCCTTCAAAACAAAAATTACACAAAATATCTACTACCAATCGCCATAGGCATTCTAGGTAGTTTAAATTACAATAGAGGATTAATTACAGTAATCATAGATGGTTATTGGTAATGTGAGAGGTTGGGAGGGAGGGGGGTGTTGTCACAAGATACAAATGAGAAAAACTTTAATTTGACGGAAACTTATAACAGGCCTGTACAAATTGCATCACTATATCTATCAGGATTTTCTGAGAATCAATAGTGAGTTCATTTTCATAAATTAAATATTTGACCTGTTCTATCTCACTAGAAATAAGTTGAGTATCAAACAATAAATTTTGTTCACGAAGTGCAGTCATCATTTTATTACGTTTATGGGTATGGCGAGGGCAGGTTAGAATGAAATGCTTTGTGTCTTCAGTAGAGCCACAGAGGCATTTATTGTCAATTATTCCAGTAAAACTAGATGATGGCAACTCCGCGGAGTAGCAAATCCCAACGAACAAAATATCAATTACCGAATTCCAATCAATAATACTCATTACTTTGGTTAAAATTGAAAAATTTAGATTTTAGAATTGCGAATTCCTGCAAAGCAGCCATTTTGAATTTTCTGAGGTACAAATCTGAAAAATAATACCATAATTGTGATCTACTCCAAAATTCCTTCAATTTGAGTAATATATAGCCATACGTTGAAGGGTTCGAAAAATTATTGCCAAATCATACATTAAACGGCCATTTTGAATTTTACGAGGCTCGAATCAGAAAAAAGATACAATATTTGCAATCTACTTTTAATTGCCTTTCATTTGAGTATAATAAAGCTATACTTCAGAAAGATCTAAAAATTAGCGAAAATTTCTGTTTTCCTGACCCCCCATACACGGCCCCTGGGGGTCAGGATGAAAAACACTGAATATATGTGAAATAGATAGATGTTGCGAATATACTACCAAAATTTCAAACAATAATATTAATTCCTTTGGTTTAGAATGAAAAATTTATGATTTTTGCGAAAAAGTCCCGTCATTTTTAAAGCAGTGGCCATCTTGAAAAAATCCATTTTGAATTTTCTGAGGTACAAATCTGAAAAATATTACCATAATTGTGATCTACTCCAAAATTCCTTCAATTTGAGTATTATATAGCCATACTTTGAAGGGATCGAAAAATTATTGCGAAATCGTACATTAGACGGCCATTTTGAATTTTACGAGGCTGGAATCAGAAAAAAGATACAATATTTGCAATCTACTCTTAATTGCCTTTCATTTGAGTATAATAAAGCTATACTTTAGAAAGATCTAAAAATTAGCGAAAATTTCTGTTTTCCTGACCTCCCATACACGGCCCCTGGGGGTCAGGATGAAAAACACGGAATATGTGTGAAATAGATAGATGTTGCGAATATACTACCAAAATTTCAAACAATAATATTAATTACTTTGGTTTAGAATGAAAAATTTATGATTTTTGCGAAAAAGTCCCGTCATTTTTTAAGTGGCGGCCATCTTGAAATATTTTTTTTTGCGTAAAACTATTTATCAATATACATCTTTCCACCAAATATGAAGAAAATCCATCCACTAATATTTGAGTTATCTTCTGGACGGACAGACGGACGGACGGACGGACTGACGGACGGACGGAGGGCTTCACTATATCCCTACCGAACTTCGTTCGTTGGGATAATTATGAGTAAAGAAATGGTCTTTAAGGGCAAAATCAACTCGAAGCCTTTTTAGCAGTTTTTCTTACAATTTTGAACAACAGTCTTAGATTTTTTTCGTGTCTTTTGTCAGTCAGCGATTTCCACTGTAAACATTCTAAAGTTTTTGAGGTGTTAGAGCCATGCAGTACCCCAGCACATATAACAGCAGCTTGATAGTGGATTTCATTAAGCTTTGATAAGGCCGCCAGGGATGACGATCTGTAAATGGAGCTACAATAGTCAAAATGAGATGCCAAATATGAATTATACATTATTTCAAGATGGTGCAACTGTATTTTGTTTGATATGAGCTTCAAAGGATTTAACAATTTTTGAGCTTTATTAGACAGATAGTTAATATGGTCATTAAAAGTCAAATTCTCATCTAAGATGAAACCCAGGTGCTTGTGTGATTGCTTTTGAGGGATCATTTTACCGATTTAGGTCATTTTGGAGTTGGCCAGTTTGATTGCCAGAAAGGTGAAAGAAAGAGTATAAGGAGGTATCAATTGCCAGGTTTTAGACCATACACTTAAAAGATTTAGGTCATTTTGGAGTTGGCCAGTTTGATTGCCAGAAGGGTGAAAGAAAGAGTATAAGGAGGTATCATAGATAAAATTTTTCGAGGTCAGAGTGTCAGGGAGGTCATTTATGTATATCAGAAACTAGTGGTGTCAATTAACCGCTTGAGCATTAACCGGTTAACCGGGGGTTTTTACCGGTTAAAGTCGGTTAACGGGCGGGAAATTTGAACTTATAATTTCAAATGAAATCTTCATCTTCGATCTTGAAAGTTGAAAAAATTGGAAAAATGATATATCGGCGTTTATTTTTTACGTTCGTCAAGCTTTACGCTATTCTCTGTAAGTAAGTGCGGGAAAGCAATGTGGCAGGGATTAAAGTTGCTGAATGGATGTTTGTAAGGAATTATCGGACCTATCACATGTATGAGTAGCTCACATGAAACTGACGCTTAAAAAACAAACAGATTAAAATGCAAAGTAAGCGCGGGAAAGCAATGTGGCAGGGATTAAAGTTGCTGATTGGATGTTTGTAAGGAGTTATGGGACTTATGACATGTATGAGTAGCTTACGTGAAACTGACTCCATAAAACCAAACGGATTAGCATGCAAAATAAGCGCGGGAAATAACAGAATTATACACGGTCAACTAACCGCCCATAAAAACTCAGACCGGTCAAGGCATTATCGGCGGTTAACCGGTTAATACTTGACACCTCTATCAGAAACATCAGGGGTCCGATTATGGACCCCTGAGGCACACAAGAGTTTATGAAGTGGTCAGGAGAAAAGTTTGATGTGTGATCATCTACAGTGACACAGACTTTTCGATTTTCTAAGCAAGAAGTGCAGAAGTCAGCTAATTTACCTTGAATTCCATATGATTTCATCTTGTGAATGAGCAAGTTATGAGGTACAGTATCAAAAGCAGACGCCACGTCTAAATAAACAGAATTAACACAGTTCCCTTTTTCATTTTCGTTAAAGATATAGTCAGTTATTGCTAAAAGTTGTAGCTCAGTGTTGTGTCCTGGAAAAAATCCAGATTGTAAAATTGATAATGAAGGTTATTTTCAAGTAAATGCGTTAAAATGCGATTATGCACAACTTTTTCAAAAGTTTTGGAAAAAGTGCTTAGCAAAGTAATCGGTCTATAATTCTCAACTTGTGATCTATCAGACTTCTTATAAATTGGAGAAATGTTTCCAAGTTTCCAGCAACTAGGAAATTGGCCACATGCAAAAATCATGTTAAACAATTTTGTTAACT